CACATCTTTTTCTGCCTATGGAAAAAAGCAAAATTACTCTCTGCGGAAAAAGCAAAATTACTCTCTGCACGCATGCTCCAAAGTTTACTAGCCGTGCAATGCGCACATAGGAATGCATAGCCATACTCTACCGAAGCGTTGTCAGAATGATCCCATTATGACATGGTTGGGTGTTTGGTTCGGTTGTGGACTGGACATTTTGATGGGACGTAAGTCTTGAGACAGCCAATCATCTTAATATTGTTCTGATTATTCCGTGAGCGGCGAATCCGAAACGAGTGCTAGCCGCGGCTCTTTCACCCTGTTTTATAGAAATCCAGGGCCTCACACTCACATGTCTTGTCCAGAAATCGAGTCCTCATTTCGACATGCAGGTCAGAGAAGTTGCGACGCCTTCAGTTTTACAAAGTTCGGTAGGTAAACAAGTTTAACGTAATTAAAGGTCAGGAGAGATGGCCTGTTGAGCGCGCTCCAGAAAAAGCGAGCCTAGAAACTGTAACTGGTATAATTCGAAACAAAACACTGGAACATTGAAGCTGTGTGACTGACCTACCTGAGCGACCATGTAGCAATATAGGTACTCGCACAAGGGAAATGGCGCAGCGACAAACGATACCTATCGATTTCCATTGCATTTGTCCGCTTGTCACCTTTGGAACTCTTATGATTTCTGGTATGGAACGATGACAGCTGCCCTATCCAATATATCATAAATAAATTAAAAACTTTTACTGCTTTCATCGACTAAGTGATTTTAAACCCTAACTATTAGAAGCAAGTTCCTGGATACCTATCACCGGTGACTTTCCCGAAGCACTTTGATTTATTGCGGCGAGGGGAGGGGATGCTTCGGTCCAACTTGAAATATCAAAAACTCTAATGCCAAGTTTCATGCGTCAAAAAACTTGCCCCTGCTCTTATCGTGAGCTACATTTTTGAAAAGTAGCATCACCGAACTCAGCTTGCCGGGCCGGCGTCTTGTGGCAGCGGCTGCTCGGTCTCGTCTCTTCTGTCGCTCGATCTCTTCTGTGGCTGCTCGATCTCTTCTAAACCTGCTCGTCCGCTCCGAACCAGCCCGGTGGGAGGAGCGACAACCGGCGACCAGGCGCAGGTTCCGCTCAGTTTCTGCCGAGCCCTTGTTCGCGGCCGGTTCACATGGCGCGCACCAGCTCGGATCCCGGTCACGACCCGCTCGCCGCTTGGACGACCGGAATACGACAGCGCCGGGCGCCGGGTGCGCCGGACCTCGTCCATAGTTTATGGCGTCCCGATCGGTCCGAGTTACAGGCGCTGCATTGAATTATGTGCAGGATTGCTCGAGCCTGACAGTGGCACTGTGCAATTTGGAAATGTGACGCCCAGCGAGAGAGAGCTGCCTCTGCGCCAGGCGCCATTCGCTGTGCCTGACGCTATGATGCGCTGTGTGACGTGCGTCACACTCCGGCTGACGTCTGTGATGCACCGAGTGACGTGGCCGTATTAGTCGGTGACGTCACGTAGCGGAGCCGAGCGGCGGCTGGTCGGCAATTGGCGCCGCTATGTGTTGGCGGCGCGCGGTGAATTCCGCTGTTATCGGGCCCAGGGGAGTGGACCGCGAGCTGGCGCGTGTCACAACCGAGCTGCTCCCACTGACAGGACACGCCGCTTAACACGAATGTCGCTCGGCCAAGATGGCCGACAATACGGGAGGTCAGCGATGGCAGTGATCTGTCAGCGCTGACATGGACACGCAGAGCGGTCACGTGATCAACCACGTGACCTGCTCCCGCTCCCGCTCTAAATACAATAGTTTGCCAAAAACTGATAAAAAACTAAGGCAATTCAAGTCGGCGCACCAGTCCAAAACTCTTCTCTGGATGTCACTGAATAGAACTGTTAGATTCTCAAAATATTATAGGATAGGCAAGCAAAGATGATTAAAAAAGAGAACCACATATTTGTTTATTGTTTGCACTACTTCATCCCGACTATTAATTGATTTTGGCACCCGTCGACGGTCAAACACCATTTGCATATATCAAGTTTTTTTTATCTGGTTTGCTTGATACCACCACTTTACAGCAGTAATTGCTCCTTTGCTTTGAATGCTCTGGCAACCTCTTGACTACGAAGAGCCCCTGGTTATTGCATTTAGCCTGGGTTTGTATTATTACATACACGCACTCTCTGACCTGCTCTCAGATTACAACTGAGCAGCCGGTGTGCTGCGTGACCTACCCCGCAGCTGAGGCAGCGCAATGAAATGAACTCCGGTTGGCAGTGTCTAGGGAAGGAAATATATAATTATTACGCGGTAAAAGTCAAATATTATTTTTAAAACACACCAATACTGAGGTTTCTTTTACGGGGGTCTGTATATGCGGCGTTGCGCCATTTGTTACGGGATAAAGTTCGAGGTTACTTATAACTACAGAGTGTTTCACAATAAACGTTACTTTTGGTAAGCTTTTAAAATGACCTCAGCTATTCGTATGCCCATAAATTCCATATTCATTTTGTTGCAAATTCTTTCGGGTTTTTTATCCTTACAAAAACTATGACGAATCATCAACTGCATTCTTTATGTACGTGCAATGTCCATACCATCAAAACAGGTCAATTCGCTGTTATGCTTCAGGGTCCTTCACAATGAATGTTGCTTTTCAAACGACGATGTTTCAGTGACATGTATTACAATATGGCTCATGAGTATTACCTCATGAGACAGCAGAACAGTAGGACTGATGAACATATAACTTTCAGTTCAGCACCCTTCACGGGTTCTCCACTATGCCACCCTTCCGTCTGCTGACTTTTTCAACCAGATTCTCTGGGATCGCCGTCCGGCCAGGAGTCGGGGCTGGTCTCGTGTTTCCAGTCTTCTGGAACCTTTCTACTACCCGTTTGAAAGACATTTTTGACGGAATATCCTTCCTCCTTTTAAATGGCTACCGAAACTCCGTCGCACTGCGGTCAGACTCCGCAAAGCGCCGTAATGCATGACCACCCATACCGCCTCATCATCTGTACACGGCGAATTGACCCGTTTTGACGGTGTTGGCATTGCACGTCCATACTGATGGAACCGTTGACGGTTTGTAAAAAAAAAATGTAAGCACTAAAAACCGCTACAAATTTGCAGCAAAATGCATATAAAATCTACGCGCTTACGAACAAGTAAGATCTTCATTTAAGCTATTCAAAAGTAACATTTATTGTGAAACACCCTGGTTAACCGGGCCCCGCCAAGCGCGCTGGGGGATGGGGCAGATCTGCCCCCTTCAGTTTTTTGCCAGTAGCTTCTAAGCGCATAATGCCAGCGACGTCAAACGTTAGTACCTTATCATTAGTTTGAAATGTTCCTTAAAAATTTGAACGATATCCCCCTTTTTTAGAAGACGACGTTTAAGTGACGTTAACACGCCGTTAACGCTAACACCTTTGCACGTTATATCACGCCATTTTTGTTTAGGAAACTGCAAAGCTTCAATCACCTCTAACATCTTTAGTTTTAGAGGAATAGTTTTAGAGGAATCAATACGTAATTATGTAGAAAGTATGCACGCGATTCTACTCTGTATTTTCAATTGCTATCTCGTTTTTGTTGTTGAAAGTTGCGGTTTTTGATCCAAAATGTAATGATTCCTTTAAAACCGTTATAATATCCAAAAATTAAATATACTAAAAACGCAATGTACGATAAAGGAATATGACATGTGCACCGTACATACATACCAATTTTTAGAAGAATCGGTCCAAAAATGTAGGAGCTATCTAAATTTTGGTGACGTCACGACGCACAATTTTTTTTAGTTTAGGCTTGAATAAGAATTTAAATAGCACCATTCGATTTGTCGTGAAAAACGGTGTGAGACAATTTTTTGTCTTAAAAAACAGCTTTCGATTACCGTTTTTCTACGACCACTCTATTCGACAATTAGACGGGGGGGGGCAGAATTTCTCCCCCCCCCTCCCAGCGTTCGGATGAATACCCCAGCGGGGGACGGGTTACAAATGGACACAGAGCTGAGTGAGCTGTTATCACTTTAATGTTGCCCTGATTTCAATAGAGTTATGGGCACGGATGAGACGTATTTATTTATTTGTCCGGCGAAGGTAAAATTGGACACGGAAATGAAGAAGTGTGTTTAGAGAATAGTTGCAGAAAACACATGCCAGGCACATCCGTATAGCTAGATACTTACATCCTACCGATAGATGACTTTATTCAATTTTCCATCTGCCCTTTACAAGTTAGGTGCGATCACCTGTTTGCTTCTTGAACTTCTGCTGAAATACAGACTTGTGAAATGTAGGTATTACTTCTTCGAACTGACAGGGGCAAACGAAGCAGCCTCACTACAAACACGCTGCAGTTCAGCTCACTACAAAACACAACAGTCTTAATTCTTTGACCAATAACAAGAACGCTCACTCATTCTACGCTAGCCGTGAAGTCGGAGAGCAAAAAAGCACCCGTCAACATGCTGACATCTGGCGGCCGATTACAAAAACCGACAGCTCTGATACCCCGTCAAAGCGTGAGGCGTATCGGGACTGAGCGTGTCGCCGACCTGTCGGTGACATCTGTATGACAGCGTCGGCTGACTGGTGCCATCGGCACGCTCCTCGGGAGCCCGGCAACGGCCGCCGCCTATCCATCACAGCGCCTCCCACGTGCGGCCAGAGCTCTGCGACCGGGTCCGTACCGACCGGTGTTCCACCAGACCAGACCATACCAGACCCGGCGGCGGGCCGCGGCGGCCTCCAGCGTCTGCCCGCACCGCCTCCGCCGCCGCCGCCGCCGCCGCCGCCGCCGCCGCCGCCGCCCACCGTCTGCATAATTAGCGGTGGGCCGGGAGATCTGAGGGCGGCAAGGTCTCCCGGGTCGCCGGTGACGCAGGTGGCGACCCGGCGTGACCATCGCCCGGCGCCGCGGGACCGGGCGCCGTCGGCGACGAGACGCGCCTGCGCCGGCCGCACGGGGGCGGAGCCGACGCATCGGTACCGGCGGCCGGGCGGCGGCGCCACCGCCAGTCGTGCCGTGCCGCCTCTCCCCTGCGCGTCGTCCACGTGCACTGTCGCCCCGTCCCCGCCCGCTCTCTCGCAGTCCCAGGCCTACCTCTCACGTGCACAGGTGAGTCGCTGTTGGTTCGCTCCCCGATCTCAGTCGCCTCCGGCGGCGGCGGCTGACCGACGCTCGCCCCCTGAGCCGGTCTCGGCTGAACTCTGATCGAGCCGCGCCGCCGGCCGGTATCGGTCGACGGAGCGTCATCAGCTGACTGAGACCGCCGCCGGCGGCGACGGCAGCGTCTTCGGCCCGCGGCCGGACGACACGAGGTTGCCACGTGCCGCCCGCCCGCGGTCGCTGCCAGATGACGCTCCGTGTCGGTGGGAGGGTCGGAGTCTGGAACACCGCACGTGGCGCATCTCTTTCTGTGGTCAAGTGCTGCTCGCTTTGCTAATTGTGACCTTAAGTTGTCGCATCTCTATTGTATTCGCCAGTTGGAGATGTGAGATTGTCTGCTTGAAATTTGTTACATAGCTTCACTGTATTTTATTTATCAATGTATTTCAATAAGAAATAATCTTAAATTCTTCAACCTCGGCCAGTTTCTGGGAACAGCGATGCTCGGTTATAAGTTGTCATATTATGACGCGTGACCCTATTCGAACGGCTGCCAGTTGCCAAATTGCTGAAGCCAGTCCCTCTCCTCTGCCTGACTTCCGCTGACTCTGCCTCACCAGTGCCGAGTACGGCCTCCTCCTCACTCCGCCGAAACCCTGCCCCCATGTTCCGGGTGCTCTCCCCGCGGCATCTCTCGGCCGTGAATATTCCTCCCCATTGCTCATCGCCTCTCGGAGCTGCAGCATGCCCCGAGGAGTTGGCACGGTGCGGACCTCGCCGCGCTCTGCCGGGCACGCCCCGGCGCTCTGTCCTCTGTGCTCCTCTCACTCTCCCCATCGCGTCGCCCGCTCGCCGGCTGCCTGCGTGTCACCTGTCTTGAGGCTCGCTGCCGCCGGTCGCCAACAGAAATAGCCCACACCGACCGCTCTCAGGGCTGCCGGGACGGTCCCAGGCCGTGGCCAGGGGCACGGCGAAACGGGACGGGACAGGCCGGGCACGGCGGGACCGTCCCAGACCGTCGAGCAAGAGCCTGGCGAGGAGGGGCAGCCCGTCGAGCTAAGGCTCGCTAAAATAGCATTGAACCGTCACTACGGCCCCGTAAGAAGCGTCCGAGCTGTCGCTTGAGCTCACTGAAATAGGCCCGACGAGAAGGATCCAAACCGTCGCTGCAGACACAGCGAGATGGGACAGGCGGGTCCCGACTGTGGCAAGGGCCCATCGAGAGAGGGTCGGACCCGGGACCCTCTCTAGGGCCCGGTAAGAACACCATTCGTAACACCCACAACATCCGTTAGCCCGGTAAGAAGTTCTGAAACTGTCTCTTAAGCTCACCAAAAAAGGCCCGTGCTCTGGAACCCAATGAGAAGGAACTAGACCAACGCTAGGATCCTGCGAGAGGGTATAAGACAGTCCCAAAGGCCGCTAGAAAGACGTTGACCTCGGTAAGGCAGCTAAGACAAAGCCTACCCGGTTGTTTCTGCAGTGGACAGTGTCCACGTTTTGTTTCGGTTGGCCACGACCCCCTTCAAATCCATCTGATACGTGTGATGTGGTTTGCTCAGAAGGCCGTAAATGCATGCGATCGAACTCCGATTAGAGAGGATTTTGAATAAAGAGTCCACGGAATGAAGTCTGATTAGGTCGGCTCAACCCGAAGATGTCAGAACACAACTAAGGACTGTTGGTTCTATCGCTAGATAAGGAAAGCTTATCTGCGGTAAATTCAATCATGTCAAGATGCCGACATAAGTTCTTATTTGCAGCCAAACAGGCATATTCTGGAGATGAAATCGAAACATGCATTCTGAATCAAAAGTATCAACTAGCTCCTGTTGATGCATGTATTGCATCGTGATGCGAATGAACGCGAAATGAAGTTCATGAACAAATTGTTCGTCACTAATAAGATCTGGAAAGTTCGCATAAGGTGGCCAGAAAGTGAGCTGAATCTACTGGTTTGGTAGTTTAATGGCGAAGAAGTCATAAGTGCAGTGCAAACACAATTGAAAATGTGCCATCCCTCAAACTGTGAAGTGTGTGGGGAGTCCAATGCGAATTGTGTGCCTGGGATCTGTTGAATGGCCCAAACAGCTCGTGAGAACCCCGCATTATGTCTAGAAGTTGTGGAACAGCATTGGAACACCTTGACTAGTCCTGAATGAGTGCCTACAGGCTCGCTGAAACATACGAGAATTGTAAAATTGCTCAGTCAGTGGTAAAGAGTGATTTTGTAAACATTCTCTTAGACAGAAAGGTTCGCAATAACGTATTTTAAATATTACATCTCATCTGCCCTCATGCTGCCCAGAAACTAATGAATATTCTGTTAAAACACAGACCGTATCCATATCTCATTAGCAGCCGATTCCTACCTCCAGCTGGCTGTCGTCAAACCTGTATCTGTCGCCGTGTGATATGGTTTCTTACGTCACCAATGACTCAGCGTGATTCACTCCACGCGCACCAGTCAATCACATGCGGCTTTGCAACGATGCAGCCGCGCTGACGGCACTGGCTCGAGCTGGGCTGGCCGTGTTGACAGCGTGCACCTGTCTGTCGGGGGTGGTGGGTGAGCTTGTGCTATCGCAGGGGTGGGCAGACCTAGTCAGACGCGTGGGGGCTCATCGGCACACATTTGTGGGCTGTCGTTTCGTTAGTCATCTACATGGCGAGCAATGTAGGTCGGGAATATTAAAGCAAAGTCTTATCCGTCCGCCTTTTTTCCGTGTACCATCCACAAAGATGATGAATCCATGCAGGAGTCGTTCAGGCCTGAACACATCTACAGCCCGAGGGTTTCACTCAGGGGTTTTCAAACGTCATAGGTCATGTGTATTGTGCATTGTGTGGTGAAACTGTTTCATTTCATTATCATTCGTGATGATTAAACTGTCAAGACTTTCGGAAGTCATTTATCACCCATGCATCAAATTCTTGTAAAAAAAAATGTTTTGAGATCAATTTTTAGCGTATTATAAGATTTGGTAACGCTTTTCAATGTGCACAGTAAAGTAAATACGATATTTTAAGGAAAGAAATATACATGGAAGTATGCATAAGAAAGAAGACAGCGACACACACATGTTTAAATTGCGCCTATATCTCGTCTCAGGTTAGTTTGTCCTTTATTCGCTGCGCCCTTGACCTTGCTAAACCCTGCTGTTCATAGTCAAAGTTCAAACCACAACCCTGTGTACGTTATAGTGCCCTACCCAATGCTCATAGCAATATTGTCCCACATACCGCTTGACGTCGTACCCAGTTTCGAATACTCAGTATCAAAATGAAACCTTTATTGAAGAGTTACCGTTACCACTTTCAGTTTTTGTTTTCAAGATACGTACGCCTATTTATTCATGCTTTGTTCATTGCTCGGAGCACAAATGTTCATATCCACATATTGGAATTTCGATATCATAGCATAAATTTGTATGACAATGGATGGTTTCATTGAATTATGAATGAGTGCTATGCATCATTTTTATTATTGTTAATTGAAAAGTCTATGCTTTCTCTGGCCGCTGCTGCAGAGTTGTGCTCGGCTCATACTAAGTTCCATTCACATTGTTTGAACCGAGTCGCGTAAAAGTCCAAAAAACTATGTTACGAGGCGAAATTGTATTATTATGCAATCACCAACACTCTCAGTTAATTATTTGATATTTCATTTCCGGCATAAGTACCATGTGCTAACAGCTATAATACTCAGATTCTCTCGTAAACAAGTGCTTTTTGTTGTCTGGTAAAAAGTACATGAGTAAAAACGCCAGCCCGTTACGTCAGAACTGACCCACGTGGGAAAAAACCGTGTCGTCAAAGGCAAGCATTCCGTTTCGTTGTCTGATGAGCACACCGATAACTGAGCCAAATCCACACCCTATCAGTTGATGTGAGCCGAGCACAGCCCTGCTGGATAGCGTGCCGTCGTGCAGTGGCGTCTACCGAGTGTTTGTCTCTCTCTCTCAGTGCCCTCGTATCGCCACCACTGGCCCCGCCCCGCCCGTGACCCGGCCGCGCACAGCGTACTGACCACCCTGTCTCGTTTGACCCGCAGATTGACCCGTCACCTGTGACATGATGGCCTCCATAGATTTAAAATCACCCCTGCCCACTGATGGACCCTCTGTTACCCTCACCATCCGCCTGCTCATGCAGGGCAAGGTAGGTGGCCCTGGCATGTCCGGAGTCGTGGCACCCCCGCACACACTCGCACACCGCACGAACCACCTGATTGGTGTTGGCTTGTCTGTCTTTGATGTCGTGCAGATAAATCTGATTTTGTGTGCCTGCTCTCTCTGCTCTGCATTCTCTCTCTCTCTCTCTCTCTCTCTCTCTCTCTCTCTCTCTCTCTCTCTCTCTCTCTCTCTCTCTCTCTCTCTCTCTCTCTCTCTCTCTCTCTCTCTCTCTCTCTCTCTCTCTCTCTCTCTCTCTCTCTCTCTCTCCCATTCTCGGCCCGCTCTGAGTGCCGGTAGTCCCGCACGCGGGGAGTTCAGTGTGCCGCGGCCGCCGCGATGTTTGTTTTCGTGCCTCAGTGGTGTGTATATGTGCCCGGAGGGACCGACTGTCCCCGACCGGGTCCGGCCAGTCCGGTCCACCTGTCCGGCAGAGGGTGGGAGGAGGCTCCTCCTCCCTCTGCCCCCGGGTGTGCCCCGCTCTGAGTCGGGTCAGAGCGCTGTGCTGCGGGGGCAGTCGGGGTGACCTGGTGACCCAGGGAGGAGCGGGACTGATCTGACCGGGTCGGGCCGCTTCGGCTGGGGCTTGCAGTGTGTTCTTTGCATGGCTCGACGCTCGTGGTGTGTCGTGTGGTGACAGTGCTAGCGCAAAGATGAAGGTAGCAGCGGTGGAAAGCAGTTGGGTAATGTTTGAACAAAGTTTTATGTTCAAAATTATGTAGCTGAAAATAATTAATCCCATCCTGATCCATATTTGATATCGAAAGTACCTATCCATTTTCATTACTTTTCTTTCTACGGTCATATACATTACAACAGCTCCATTGAAAGTTACAGATTTTAAAAGCAGTATTTGCATATCATCATGTTAACCCGCGCCCCGCTGGGCTATTCAGCCATACGCGCCCTGCTGGGGGGGGGGGGGGGCAGATTCTGCCCCCCTGTCTAACTTCCGAACCGATGGTCGTAGAAAGACGGGGAAAACGGCAATCGAAAGCTCTCAACAAGGCGGATCTTAACAGCCCAATTTTTTTGCTTAAGTAGGTCAGAGGTCAGGTCAAGGTCAGGTCAAGGGTACAAAATGCAAGTTTCTACAGTATCGGCCTTGCACCGTAGTTGCCGAAGAATGGACTGAGACTGATTGCCCAAAACGTGTTCTTAGACTACCAAGACAATATTCGTTGCACACAATGTCATTCAAAGGTCAAGGTCAAGGTCAGGTCAGGTCAGGTCAGGTCACCAAAAGCAAAATATAGAAAAGGGCATGTGCGACACATGTTTTATGGGTCATTTTACTCATGGAATTCAATAGGCACACTCAATAAGTGATATGGACCACCTCTGGATGAATTTCAGGTCGAGGTCAGGTCAAGGTCAGGTCAAGTGAGGTCAAATTTTGAAGTTGGTTGTTAAGGCCTAAAAAGGTGTCTATCCGATGCAGTTTTTCACGGCGAATCGAATGGTGCTATTTTTGTTTCCGTACGAGGTCTAGAACTTCCAAAAAAAATCATTTTTCAAAAATTTTGTGTGTCGTGACGTCATAAAATTTTGAATAACTCCCACATTTTTGAACCGATTCTTCTAAAAATTGGTATGTAGGTGCACATAGACCACTTCTTTGACATATATTCCGGTTTTTTCGATAAACTCAATATTTTGGATTTTATAAACATTTTCCCAAAAAAGTCAGTTTTTTGGAAAAATTTTGGCCAAAATCCAAAATTTTCAAAAAACCGAGATAGCCATTTGATAGACAAAGTAGAATCACGTATAACCTTTTTTGTTACGTCTTGATTCCTTTAAAAATGAAGATGTTAGCGGCGTTTGAAATTTTGCCGTTTTTGAGGCGAAAATGGCGAACATGACGTCACTAAAACGTCAATTTCTCAAAAAATTTCCGACGGATTTCGCTCAAATTTTCAGGGAACGTGTCAAATTGATGTATGATAAGGTACTGAAAGTTTGGCGTCGCTGGCGTAACGCGTTTAGAAGTTATTGGCGAAAAACGGGAGGGGGGCAGATTCTGCCCCCCCCCCAGCGGGGCGCGGGTTAATATTGGCTTCAGCTTTTTGATGATGGACACCGAGAGCTACATGCTTATAAATGATCCCACGTTTTTTATATAAATTAAGCGTTATCATGCACCTCCGTGATGAGTTCAAAAACACCCAACTGTCTTATTTGTTTGCATACATGCGCTCGTTGCCTGCCGCCTCGGAAGCGCAGCTCTCGCACAACTCTGCCGTTGCCTCCCTCGCCGGACCCGCGCCGAACAGTGCCGGACCCGCGCCGGGCCGACTGGGCCGTGCCGAACGGTGCCGCGCCGCGCCGGTCGCGACAGGGCCGACGGCGGGTATTCTCGGAGATGCGCCCGGTATGCCAGCGGGGGCCGTGGTCGCGCACGTGCCGCCGCTAGACAGATGTCAGAGCTGCGTCCGAGGCAGCACCGCAGTGGGCAGGGACCAACAGCGGCCGCAGACCCCGCGCGGCGCTGGTCTGGTACCGTGAGGCTGGCCTGAAAATGTATTGTGTAGACCAAGCTAGTGTGGCTGTGATAGCTGTTGGTCAAGTCTGAGACGGCGTAGCGCACGCTGGTTTTTGCCTATGGACCACGCTGGTTTTCGCTTGTGGACCACGCTGGCTTGGTCTGGGGACCATGCGATTCTTGACTGATTCAGTGACCCACGCCCATGGGCTACATCAAATAATAAAGTCAAATAAACGAAGTTTACTAAAAGATAATGAAAAGATAGTTCAGTAATTAAAGCAGGATGCTCCTAGATCGGAGGAAAAATTAAATACAGATGCTTCCAAAGAATCATAAGCATTTTTTCCTATAGTGTGCTAGCAGAATAGTTATGCAAGCTCAAAGCTCAAATTCCTATTTTGTGTTCAAGGATGATGCATAGCGTCAACGCCCATACATTCAGCGCTTTAACCGGAAAGCACTTGCATACCACTCGCGGAAATTGTAAGCAATATTCTCACACTTTGAATGTAATTTGAATTCTTCATAATGCAAAAATGGACGGAATGTCAATTTCAACATTTGTGACAAATTTGTTGGGCTTCTGATGCTGAGAATGCAATTTGTCTAAGATACGGCACACGAGGGCACTTGTATACGCGAATGCTGTCCGGAAAATGTGTTCAGCAAACGCGAACAAAGCAGTGCTCATGTGGAAAATTTGGCACCATAGCAGATAATATAGTTCATTTGAAAAACCAAATGGGCGCAATATACTAGTGGGACAGAAAAGCGTCTCAAATGGGCTGCAGTTCGCCTTTTCTGGGAAACCTTTTACCTGTCGCTGCCTATTGCTTCTCTAACACTGACTTATAGCGCTTCAGCTATAACCAGCGACGGAAATTGAATTTGGTCCACAAATGAGAACACAAACGATAAACAACCAATTATCCTGCTGGGACAGCGGCGGCCCTCAGTGATGGATGCTCCAAATGGCCTGTGGTGCCAGGCGTGTTTACACACCCGCAGTCGCTCTCGCAAGGGAACCGACCCACGCGCGTCGGTCTCCGGCGCGGAACGAGCCAAACGCGTTTTGACACCCATTCACAACTTCCAACTCTCGTTACTTTGTAGTTGGAAGGTCACGGCTAGGCTGAGCAGGTGATGCCTTCTGTTTGAGGAGTGGAGAAGTGGCAAGCTTGATATATGTAGAAGCTCGGTATAGCCAGAAAAAATCATTCAATGATGTTATTTAGTCTCAATTGCTCTTCTTGAAGGCTTGCCAATAACATAAAAATTAGTTAGGGTGATGTTTATTATGCAAACCTTCACCAATTGCAAGCACAGCAGTAAGATGTGAGAGCTTTGGAAAGTTTTACGAAAACGATGATTGTCTGCTGGAAATGAGGGGATCTATAGGGGACCAAATTATTCGGGTGTGACCAACTTTGTCCCGTTAGCTTTCATGAAGTTGAGACGGTTGATTAGGTAACAGAAGTCGGGCCATCATGGAAAATTGCGAGGCGCTCTATGCCTAGTCCTTGAACTCATAGAAATTGAAAAATGAAACATCAAGACAACGTTTTGATACCGAACCTATAGATTTGTGAAACCGTATACATAAGAAGCCTAGGATGAAGACAGTATGCCAAATTTTATTTAAAATATCACTGCAATACTCTCTGAATTTCATCTATAAGCCCTTTTGTTTTTCATTGCTAGTTTTTCTTTGAAACTTATATGAGTGGCTTAATAGAATTTTACGCAACTCTTCAGTGATTACGGAGCGAGCGAAGCGAGCGTAGTCTTTCCTTAGATTAACGGAAATTTCTGAGTATGAGCGGCCGGCCGGCCGGCCGGCCGTGGTCACGCTTTTGCGAGGCTTATATCTCAGCAACCACTTGACCGATTTACATGCGGTAAATTTTGTAGGGTAGCTTCATTCCTTCTACCAAGTATTGGACTATTCCCGATGCATGTGGGTGACCCCTTATGCACGTGCCACGTGCAAAACGAAGAGGTGTCAGTTTTGTAATTGTTGCAATATCTCGGTAACTACTTGGCCGATTGCGCTGAAAGTTGGCATGTAGGTAGGCACCCACTAGACACTGCATATCCATGTGCCAGAGTTGGGGTGCTGCTGCACGTGCGCACGTGCAGGGGTCGTTTCCAGATCTCGAGAACGGCTCGACCGATTGCGCTCAAATTTGGTACACAGTTAGGGACCGGTTAGTAGGGTGCCGTGCACAAGTCAGTTGGGACCCATTTTGCACGTGCGTACGTGCAGGGTGCCGCTTCCAGATCTCGAGAACGGCTGGGCCGATTGTGCCCAAATTTGGCACATCGCTAGAGACCGTTTAGTAGGGTGCCGTGCACAAGTCAGTTGGAGGTACCCCCTCACAATTTCGCACGTGCAAGGCCCACCCTCTCGCTCGCTCCGTTAGTCGCCCCAAAAGGCGTTATACTGGTACTAATTCCCTTCATATGCCTTCTTTGCAACCCTAAGTACTATCAGTGTGCTA